ACATATTATTAAAAGAGAGTCATGCATATCTGTCTCCCACTTTTTCCTGGAATAAACGCCCCCACCCCCCAAATGACTGCACGCAAAACTAATGAAAGCAACATCATTTATAACACATTCTATAAATGTTCTACTAATTATATTTTTCTAAACCTGGTTGGGATTAATAAATCTTTATGGTCATGTAATATTACACATTTTGACGTATAATTACGTGTTGTAGTTAACATGTTTATAGTGAAATTAATTGTGGGAGTTTATTTGAGTATACGTATCCATTTTACATTAAAAAAAACACATGCCTCCCTCGAATATATACCCCCTTAAAAACTCTTTTAAAAAATAAACACCGGGGGAATCTATTCGATTAAATACAGTGTCGATTATTACAATTAAAAGATGTCATTTTACTAATAGGACGTTATTTTTGACATGCAAGTAATTTTAATCGTAATGTAGGTAATATCATAATTTATATAAAGATTGCAAATACAATATAATTCGTTATATTCTAGCAATGTGCCTGTTGTTGCTTAGAAATCTTGAATTTTATAGCAATGTATTTGAATGAACATGTTCAAATACAGTACTCAAAACGAGCTCCATGGGAGCCCAGGACCCTCCTACGAAGCACTGAGCGATGATTGTGTTCAGATGTTGTTTAAAAATGGTTCAAAGGACATGTTACTGATCACCATCAATTCACGATCTGATAGATTTGACCATTTACAAACTTGTGAGGCATTCCAATATGTTTTAGGCTTACAAGGTATACTTGAAAATGATGATGTGGTCTGTATTAAATTTTCTGATACTAACATTATTGACAGTTCACAAAACTGGTCTACCCTACACTTTTAGTATTTGTATATAAAGCTAGTAAATATGGATAACTTTTTCATTCCTGATGATGACATGATCAATGTCAAAATTGAATCCCAACATGATGGTGTGCATTTCAACCAATACTTGGAGTATGTAATATGAGGACAGATATATATCTGTCTCTTATACACTTCTAGATGTGTATAAGAGACAGGGGGATAGGTGTGCACCCTACGTACCCTACAAGTAGGAAACTGCAGATATGCAAAGGCCCGACATTTTTTTTGCCCCCCGGGTCCCATGATTCGTCGTTAAGCACTGTCTGCAACATGGTAGTAAGCAGTATTCAGTATAATAATATTCTTTCTAAATTGTAGCAATATATAACTACAAATGTTCTTCTAGCCTTTTCATATTTCAGCTCTTCACTTATTATTTGACTGATATTTTTCCCGGTAGTAAATATCAAGTTCTTCACCGATGCTCTTCTTTTCAAGTTTGTTCAACGCTTCAAGCATCATTTCAAAGTGATTTACATTAGCATACTGCATTTCTCGCCACTTTATCAACATTGCAAGGCTAGAGTCTACAGCTGGTGGAAAGTCCATCTCAATTTGTTCTATGTCATGTTGCTTCAGACGAAGGGTGATGCCAAAGGCCTTCCAGTGCTTACCAAGTCTTGTGGCGATAAATAACATATCAATATCTGTCAACTGACCTGAAAAAACAGAAGGACATAATTATAGTGTATTAATATAATCACAAAACAATCTAATAGACTATTGCAGACATTATACAGTAGTAACTAACCACGACCTGTACATTTGGTAAGTCTAATGAGCAAGCGGTTAAGGCAGGGATGTCGCAACTTACAGCTATAACATTGGCCCTGGTTCGACAGCACACTTGCCTATGGTTCTGGTGGTTGAACAAGACTGTAAACCATAAGCTTAGTGTACAAAATTGACACTTTTAATGACCCCAGTAATCCTTTGAAAGTAGGGGGTTACCCCAGTGTACTGGTCCATTCAGCACATGTCGTTGTGAACATATGAAAGTGCACCTTTAGCAGCTGATTGGACATGATGTGACACTTAGTTGAGTTGTTGAATAGTTTAGTCAACAACAGCATACTGCATTTCTCGCCACTTTATCAACATTGCAAGGCTAGAGTCTACAGCTGGTGGAAAGTCCATCTCAATTTGTTCTATGTCATGTTGCTCCAGACGAAGGGTGATGCCAAAGGCCTTCCAGTGCTTACCAAGTCTTGTGGCGATAAATAACATATCAATATCTGTCAACTGACCTGAAAAAAACAGAAGGACATAATTATAGTGTATTAATATAATCACAAAACAATCTAATAGACTATTGCAGACATTATACAGTAGTAACTAACCACGACCTGTACATTTGGTATTAAAGTCTAATGAGCGAGCGGTTAAGGCAAGGACGTCGCAACTTACAGCCATAACATTGGCCCTGGTTCGACAGCACACTCGCCTATGGTTCTGGTGGTTGAACAAGACTGTAAACCATAAGTCCAGTGTACAAAATTGACACTTTTAAACCCAGTAATCCTTTGAGAAAAGTAGGGGGGTTATCCCAGTGTACTGGTCCATTCAGCACGTGTCGTTGTGAACATATGAAAGTGCACCTCTAGCAGCTGATTGGACATGATGTGACACTTAGTTGAGTTGTTGAATAGTTTAGTCAACAACAGTGGCATATCCAGGGGGCGCACGCCTGCCCGCCACCCCCCACCCCTAAAATTCCCCCTAATAATCACGGTCAAGTAGTTAAAAATCACCTGAAATCACCATATTTTGTGAATTAGCGGCCCTCAACTGATCATCGAGCCCACCCACTTCCTGTCTCTTATACACATCTAGATGGACAGAGCCACCCCCCATTTCAAGACTTTTAGATACGCCACTGGTCCACAACAACCAGGGGTGGATCCAGATTTTATTCAAACATAATAGATAAGGAAGTACCATTCATAAGTGAAATAACATGGATATTTTAAAATAAATTTAAATAACTTTTGTGGCAAAACAAGGGCACGTTCCCCCATGGCCCCCTACTGGATCCACCCCTGACAATGACAACATCATGAAGAAGAACACAGGTAAAATCAATAACTTCCTCGGAGCTTAGCTCCATTGGGAAACCTATAGAATACAATTTACTACTAACCATCTTGTTTTATGTGTGTTTGATATAATCTTCCACTAGCATGTTCTTCAACTGCTTCTACATGGAATGGTAGATCCACTGACATTACTGGTGATCCAAAAACGTTGCCAGCAAGCTCTGTGAGTCCTTGCTCTGTCAAAACCATGTACATCCTCTCAACTTGATTTGTCTCGTAGTTCTGTTTCTTCCTCCATTCTATAAGCATACTCATGATGCGTTCTTGCGATAGGCCGTAGTCACAGCATATTTGTTGGATCCTGTTCCAACTGAGACCCAGTCTGATGCCCACTTGTTTCCATTCCAGCCCCATGCCTTTGGCGATTTGAAGCAGGTGCTTCCTTTCTAGATAACCAAGATTTTTATCTAAAGTAAAAATAAGAAGAATTTTATCTAAAGTAAAAATAAGAAGAATACAATGAAATAACAACAACAAAAAATCCATGGTACAGGATCAACAACAATTTTAATTCAATAACAACATTCACTTGCATTCCTTTTTCCAGGATAGGCACTTTGTATCCACCGGGAAAGGCAGAGACCAAAATTCTTGGATATTACATTAAATTAATAAAACAATAATGCCTAAATCTCTAACCTGGTGCTGCTGTTTCTAAGTCGCTTGGAGTCGGTGCTTCCTTTGAAGAATCTGCAAAGATATATATATAGATATATTTATATATAAATTTAAAAAGGCAAATGGGAAAAACCCATAAAAAAACAAACGGCCACATAATGCGAAACAATTTAAAATTGAAACGGAACAGTAGAGAAAATCCAATCAGAATGACAAAATAAACTAAGCATCCACTGGAAGGAATCCCAATATCTGCAGACGGATATATGCAGCTCGGCTCCAGTAGTTACAGAGAATATGTTGTCATTCTTAACGCGTCCTACGAAATTCTTACGAGACAGCACTAGTCTGTGAATATGTGAACAAGATTGGAGATCTAAAGATGCAATTTCTACCGTGCATCTATGGCGGCCCACTGGATCTCAATAGAGATTCTTTAATAACATATAAATTTGAAAAGACAAATGGGAAAAACCCATAAAACAGCAAATGGCCACATAATGCAAAACAATTTAAAATTAAAACGGAACAGTATCTGCAGATGGATCCATTTTGGCCTTCCAGGCCTCATCAGTGCAGCTAGGGTACAGACCCAAACGAAACGTTCAACCAGCTTAGGTAGGGCCTTAGATATTGGGATTTCTTCCAGTGGATGCTTAGTTTATTTTGTCATTCTGATCGGATTTTCTCTACTGTTCCGTTTTAATTATA